TTTGAGGGTGTAGTTCCTAGCCATAATTCCACAGTCGTGATGTACTTACTCAATCGAAGCACGACTAGAGACGTGGAGTCACTCGACCGGAGTATTCTGTTCAGGAATTCGGAGTTCCTCCTCAAGCAACTGGCCCGGATGGTAAAGGTCGGAGAACCATCATCAGTGAGGCCGAAAGTTGCTTGATTACTTCCCATAACGTGGATTCAGGGAGTAGTCGAAGAGGCTCCCAACCAAACGATATGTAACGGCATCTGGACGGACGCGAGTCTGAGGAAAAGCGGCGAAGTCATGCCTTTCTCTCCGGTGGCTAGAGAGTGATGCCGGTGTTACTTGTTTTCTTTTGTGTTCATCTTCTCGGCCAATTTGGGTAGTTATACGACTGAGTGTGAGATTGGGTCCGATCGTTAGTGTTGAAATAATGTGCTACCTTACTTCAGCTCGGCGGAGTTTAAACGCAAATTCGAGTAGAAATGTACAGAAACCTACAAAAATTCTCCCAAATTTTCTCGGGATTCTCATATCGTCACCAACATATTTAGTTGATCACGTATTCCCATACTACCGATCGTAAACGGTCTATGCACACTGCTGCTGTCAGTGAGATCGTTCTCGGTGCGTTCCTATGGCCCAATATGATTCGTGCACTTTTCATGTCGAGTGTGTGAAAATACGCAGCATTTCAACAAATCTGTTGGTGACGATATGGGAATTTCGAGGTGATTTGAGAAAATTCGTATTGGTTTCTAAACACTTCTACCCGATCTCGTACGTTAGCTTCTATATTTATCGAGCAAATTCCTAAGCTCAGCTCGAACATATACTCCAACACTTATCTATGACTTCCGAACAGCACCCTGCCATCGACAGTGTGCAGCCTTCTGATGTTCCTGACGTGAGTCGCAGCCCTCCAGAAGCGAATATGGACAAAACAGATATGCTAGAGGACTTGGCGGAGAGAGTAGTCACAGTCGGCAAGTGTCGGATCGAATGGTTCGATATAGGTAGCTGGAATGGCTTCTGTTTTTGCTGAGGCTAATGTTGCTAGAGAGAAGGAACGAGAAGCTCTACGTGAGAAACATGTCCAGGTCCTCACGTGCATTGAAGAAACGAAGTGTGCTCAATACTGTAGGGGAGATTTGTAGCAGATTTGTTCAGAAATGACGTTGTTGCGGAGACAACGCGGCTGAGGAAAACGATCGATTCGTATGAGGCGAAAAGTGAGCACGATCTGAAACGACTCGAGCAGGAAATGAGAACTTTGTTGGAGACCAAGCATTCGGAGGCGATGGCGCGCATTGGGGAACTCGAGGTTAGTCTAATAGATGGCTTTACTAGGATACACTGTTGAGCAGTGTTGGAATATATGTTTACTCCTCAGCTGAGCTCAGAAGTTCCCACATTCATTATAGGAGTTCATATATGATTCGGGGTAGAGATAATCAAAAGCCAACAAGAATGTCCCAGAATTTCCATATTGTCACCAACACGTGCATATTTTCCCACACTGCTACTGTTGAGCAGGAGAGAGCAGCAGAGGTGGAGAAGGCTCTGGTGGAAGAGATAGAGAACAGGAAGCGCCATACTGAGAGCGTTTTGGGAATGCTGCAACAGAAGGTCAGTGGGGAGGAGGATGGTCGTTGTTAATGCTGTTAGAGCAGCGAGGAGTGAATGTAAAAGACGAAAGTTTCGTCACGAAATCACCGGGGGATTGGACCATGGACCGGCATTTTGTAGGTTGAGGAGATATCGGAGTCTGTGAATATCGAGACGGCGATCAGGAGGAGGAATCATGAGGTGGGGTGAGCCTGGGCTGGTGGAAAACGAGACATTTCACAAA